TGTGCTAATAACTCGTAAAGGGGTGATGAGAAGATAGCCCAGAGGAGGTGCGCTATTGTTATCGAGATGGTACTGATATCCCCGATTGGAAGGCTCGAGTTTGATTACGGCGATGTTGCCACGAAGCAGTATTTATGAGACACGGTGAATGCACTCTTATAAACACCCAATCTTACAAAACGAGCCTGTAGCCCAGCCTTCAGTCTCGTTAGTGGCTTTGCCTGCAGCTGAAATTCAGCCGGACCACTCCGAGCTCTGCGACCCGGTCTCGCCGGCTCTGCTGGTCTATCAGACTGACAGTCTCACATTTGTGAATTCTGCGTCCCAGTCTCACATGCTTGTCTGTCAGTCTGACAGCATGACCAGCCCCCAGTCTCTCAGACCTAAGTCTCCAATTTTCCAGCCTCGAGTCTCGCGGCCTCCCAGTCTCGCAGTCTCGGGTTCCTCTGCCACGGGCGCCGTGGCCGGCAGACGCCGTCGCCGAATAAATCACGCTCACTGCCCCGGTTCATGCATTCCAATGAGTACCGGCCGCCCGTCTGCAGCCCAGCGCCGGCCGTGGTGCCGCTCTGTTCTCCTGTTCACACTGTTCAGTCTGTTCAGGTGTTCAGAGTGTTCTCATATCAACTTTGGTTGGTGTAAGGGCGAGACAAGCATCACGAGTTTTGTCGATCTCTCAGTTTTCTGTCTACTGTGGCTCTTCTGTCTATTCATTTACTTCCACACCTGCTCCTGTCAACCTCTCCACAGCCGCGCTGCTCACCCCAGCGCGGTCCAATATCCCCACCCCTAACAAGCCCCCAGTGGCAGAAGACGCCCGCTTCGCACATGTTCAGTTTCGCTCTCTTCCACCGCAAACAAATCTTTAGCCGGCCATAAATACTGTCGGTAATTAATGAAAGCAGCTCGCGCGCGCCGCCCGGCCTGGTTACGTTTTGATAACAGGTTTAATGGTGCGCGGACCCACCCCCGGCCGGCCCTCGGCCGCCGGCGACCAGACAGAGTGCGGGCATTCCCCAATGACAGCCGGTATTCGGCGTGACTTATGGGGCGGGCACGCCGGCCGGCCTGCCGCGCGCTGCCCGCCCGGTTCCGAACGCTCGCCTCCAGCCGGCGCAACGGTCGTCCGGCCGGTGTTGAGAAGGGTGTGGGGAGGTGCGAGGGTGTCGGCGTCGCGCAACGAGGTGCAGCGAAGGTCCACCCGTCGTCACCAGTGTCGGCGAAGTCGCTGAGGCTGAGCAGAGTCGACTGGAGAATGATGTGTGGAGATGGATGAAGCGGGAGCCTTTCTGGTGACCGATGAGAGGAAATTGTAATTCCCTCGCGGAGATCTCCGCGCTCGAGCGGCAAGGCGCGCGATTCAGACATACCAACACGTCGTCCCGTCGCCCACGTTGTCGTGGATGACGTGGGCGAGAGGTGACAGACCCGCTGTCGCAGGCTATCGTCTCCCCACGCCCGTGTGTGCTAATATCGCACGTGGCTGTATCAAACAGCAGCGGGGCGGGGTGGCGGAGCGGGGTGGGGTGGCACCACTGCAGACAACGCGTTTCCATGGAAACGGCCGGCGTGGGTGCATCCTGCGGCGCCGAGCGTGCCGTGCCGGCCACGCTGTCCGGTCGGCTGACTTTAACAGCTCGCGTAAATTTCTGCTATCGGGCCCAATCATAACCGCTTGATCGTGGTCGCGGCCGGCCGGCCGGTCGGGCGGCGCGGGCCAAGCATTCCGAATAAATCTCGGTCGGCCAGCGGCGGTGTAGGGGTAGGCGGGGTGAGAGGACGCCTCGCCGCCGGAAGGGACGCAGCGGCGCATCGACCACCGGCAGACCGCGCGGAGACTCGGCCGGCCGGCCGCGTCACTAAACCCGACCTCAGTATGGTTTTATATCTCTGCTGACGGTCCGGCGACCGTCTAACGGCCTCCCGCCGGCCACCTAATTCAGCTTTATGGCCGACGGCGCAGTCTCCGGCGACGGATCGACTCAGCAACCGTCCGCAGGCCATGGGACGCTGGGACAGTCTGCAGGGGCTGGACACTGCACTGGGCTGTACAGATCGGTGACATGAGATTTAATAATGACGGCACTGTGGCCATTGTCTAAACATAAGCCTGGTATCATCAGTTGTCATTATCACTCCATTTCTCGTCGATTACCCGGTAGTTAGATCATCCTACAGCTCTGTTATCCCTCCCAAACGACCCATCCACCAGTGTTTCTGTCGTTACCTCCCTCACAGCCAGTCGTACCTCCACCGCTCCTCCCGTCTACATCTCCGCCCCTGCCGCCGCCGCCTCCGCGTGCGTCGTCGCCAGCAAAGCCCACAATATCTGACACAGGCGGGGCAATCAATAGTGCGGACTTAGGTGGAGCTTACCCAGCCGGGGTGGGCCTGAATGGAAGCGTTGGTAGCGGCGGGGAGCGACGCACGGGGCGGGCCGCGCCGACCCGCCGCCGCCCCGCCCCCGCCCCGCCGCCGTAGCCTACGGCGGCACGGGCGGACATCGATAGCAGCGCCTCTATCGGTCACTAGGGAAAGCTGGGCTGTAGGCGACGATATACCAGCTGAGTTGTCACACGTTGAATAGGTTTATAGCCATCCGTCTTGTGAAAAAATGAACTTTTGCCTTTAATATTTCTACAGGCAATTTTAGAAGTGTCTTCACATGGATTACAAAACCGTTTAGATTATTGTATTCACTTCAAGCCTTCCCTATTGTTCTTGATGATGCGGGAACTATTTCTAATTAGTGTTTCTAGCTTAGTAAAAGAACATACTGTGCAAACGATGAAAAAAAATCATAAATGGAAGATTTTAAATGCAATTTTCTCTAACAATTAATGGTAAATTCTCTACATATTAAGGAAAAGGTGCATGCTATTTGATAATTTAAAGTTCTTGGGGCCAGTTGTTTTCTTCTTTTCTTACGTCGCCCCAATGGCCGCGAATACACTTGCGATAACGCCTATCGGATACCGTCGCCTCGTGCGGGTCGTCTCCGCGCTCCAGGACCACCCACGCGGCCAGACCTGTCCTCGGTCGTCCCTATACTTTGCCAGCTCATCCCAATGAATCCCGGTAGCGGCCGAAAAATCACCAGCAGAGCGGGGACAGAAAAATCGCCGGTCTTCCGCGCGCTGCAGCCGCTGACAAGTATCGATCTCCGCCGACGCAGGCAGCTCCAGCGCTGCGCCGAATACGCCACCGGCCACGCTGCGACGGTCCCGGCGCGGCTGAGGCGAGAACCAGCCTGTTTACCCTGTGAGATTCCGTCCGCTGGGGCGGCGGAGGCGGCGCCGGCTACGATAACTCGTCCACCCTCGGCGCGAGGAGCCCGCCTAAATCGCCTTATCCCGGCGCTGAAACGAGTCCGAAACCCGCACACCTTCTCGTCCTTTCAGCTCCGGCGGCGCGCACACATAGCCGATTGTTCATTTCTGCCATTCAGCGCTTTGTCGGGCCCCGGTCGGCCCGAGTGGGGTGTTGTAATCACCGTGAGGGCACCGCGGCTCAGGCGGGCCAGCCACTGGTCTGCGGTGACATCTTATTATTGTGTTTGTCCTGGCCGGTGAGGCGGCTAGGATCTGGTCCGGTGGAGGGATGAACACGGTACAGTGGTGCGCAGGATCGCGCCGCGGACGGTGAGACGATTGCGGCGCGGGTGAGACGTGTGACGCGCTGCGGGGTGCTGGTCCGGGTCGACAGGGTGCGATATGTAGCGGAGGAGTAGATTACACGGCACCCAGGTGTGCTGGGCTGAACCGGTGAGCTATGCGATGGAGAAGGTCACTGGCATTCCTTGACCTTCAGCGCGGCGTGGCTGAAATGTGGGCTGATTTCCGATCATGGCTGTCTGATGACCACTGAAATGATCACTGATCTCCACACCTCGCCGTGTCGGAGTGTGATCAATGATCGGGAGGCGTGTGACATACCGGAATTCCCGGCATCTCGGTCCCGCTGGTCACTCTGCGCCGTCGGCCGGTCCCACCTGACACTCGATGGTCACAGGCCGACCGCCAGACCCGCATTGTCTCCGCGTGTCCTCATCTCCCAGTCCTGGAGACGCGCCAATGTCTCCTCTCGAGAGAGAGCGAGCCGGCCGCGGCGCCGGAGAGCTGGCTATTTTTAACGCCGTTCCGTGTCCAGCTCAGCCGGCCCGTTTGAAAACAGGTAGGTCCTGAAAGCCCGGCGCGGCCCGGAAAACATGACCCGTCTCGGACCGGCGCGAGACGGGCACAAAGGGTCGGCGCTTTGTCGAGTGGGCGGGCCGAACCCCCCGAAACGAAACGAAACTCGCGTGTGCTCGGACGAGGACAATGGCTCGCCGAATCAAGGTGCTTTCAGCCGGCTGAATGGTCGCCGGGGCCTGAATAGATTTTGATAGACTGGCCACAGTACCGAGCATTCGAACAAGATGCCATTGAGCGCGCGGCCGTCGGCCGTCGGCGGCGGCTCGCCGGTCCGGTCCGAGCGGGCGGCGCGACCGACGGCTGCTGTCGATGGTGCACATGTTGTTTATTTTCTGTGCGGTGACGCGGCCGCCGTCAGAGCGGCGTCACTCAGCTGCCGCGGGCCTCTCGGCCCGTGTCGGCCGGTCGCCAGTCAGGTGGGCGCCGTCAGCCACGTGCGAGACAGCCTCGCCGCGTGACGTTCCGCCGCCGCTGGCACAGGCCGTGATGAACACACACACTGAGAGGGGCGTCGATAGGAGGTGACATCCCAGGCGGTGCAGAGAGGCTTTGGTCGATATGTCGAGATGTCGATATATATCGAATCCGTCGGTGACGGATTCGATAGATAGCCGTCGATATGTCGTTACAAACGCCTCATGAAGCAGCTCGCAAAACATAGCAAGGGCAATGCAGAATCATGAAGTTCAGCCTTGAAAAGAGCGTCTGTTGGTGATGACTTGTGCTAACAAACCCATTTCTTCCAGCACCCTACACGCTCATGTCTTGTTTTCGTCGTCACTAACCTTTTTCTCTCTTCTTCCGCAGGAGAGAAGCCGTTCCGTTGCGAGTACGAGGGCTGCGACCGACGCTTCGCCAACAGCTCTGACCGCAAGAAGCACTCGCACGTTCACACCTCGGACAAGCCGTACAACTGCAAGGTGCGTGGCTGCGACAAGAGCTACACGCACCCGAGCTCTCTGCGCAAGCACATGAAGGTGCACGGAAAGGACGTGAGCGGATACGACTCCGACTCGGACTCGGAGCCGAACACGCCGGCGCTGCGTTCCCCGAGTTCGCTGACCTCACCCCCGGCGGCGGTGACCTCTCTGACCTCGAGTCTGCAGCAGACCAACCTGAACGAGTGGTACATCTCTCAAAACGCCACCGGCATGCCCACGCCGCCGAGCAACGAGCACTCACCGATCGGCGCGCACGGCAGCGCGCCCGCGCCGTCGCACTTGCTACCGCCGAGTAGCACAGCGTATTGACGGATTCTGCACAAACGAGTGGTCTCTGTCGATGTGCCGTCGTCTCATCCGCGCCGTTGTTTTGTTCGAGAGAGCTAGCTAGCGTCTCAGGGCCCGGACGATCGCTCAACGATCGAGTCGTCGTCGTGATGTCGTCGGAGAGTGGCTTCACCTGTCACAACTGACTGGAGAAGAGGCGATCGGGCTGTCACGGATGTCATCTGCACCCGCGAGCTGTCACTGTCGGCCTGACAGCCGGTCACGCTCGTCATGCACCAGTCACGATGCCAGATGTGTCTCTGCGATGCCAGATGCGGCCACACACCGCTGTGAAAGCGTGGAGGAAGGTTTGTCGAGTCCTTACTGTCACCGGCGTGGCACCGTCCGCGACTGCGCTGCACCTGTGCTCTGTTTTATCTCACCGTGTCATCTCGTTTGTTCGTGTTGAATTTTGATATGCCTGACGACGAACCTGTTATCAAACCCCGTGCAATGACGGGCTTACGACTCGTGGCGCGCGATCTGCACGTGTCACGGCGCCTCGCGGGCGCCGCAGGCCTGCTCTGACTATCAAAAGGTGGATATATTTTATGTGCGTGTTGTGACATGACTGAAGGTCGATTCACGCGGCCGTTTCGTGATGTATATTCTCATCTTGCATTGTTTGATCTCATGTGTTATGAGTGGGCCGCCTTGCGTGGTTCGAGGCCCGCCGAGTGGTCGCTGCGTCCGTACTGTGTACAGAGACATGTGTAAACAGTTCAAAGAACGTTGCCTCTGAATATGCTGTGTGTACAGTAGATTTTATAATAAATGTATGTGACGATTCTAAAAGATGTTTGTATAGAGAGAGGGTAGGTCGAATTCCGCTGGTTTCGATAAAAAAGCAGTTCAGATATAACATTTATTTAGTTTAGATGCACACGATTTATTTGTATTGTCAGAACTTCCACAGAATGTCCCCGATTGTTTTATCAACAGCACGTTACAGCACTCGCTTACGAATTCTCATCGCAGGCACGATTGACGGGTATGCCGTAATCAGATTGATTACTCTGCAAGACTGACTTTCGCAACGCCTGTGAGAGATGATGCGACAAAAGTGCCAATCATCCTCCTATTGAGGGCCAGCCCACACCGGCTGCATGGCGGTCACTCGCAGTCATAGGTGTATGAACGCTGACCTAGTGCGGCGAAAGAATTTCACACTACCATCACTATCCTCAACAGCTACCTGCAAATTTTCATTGGATTTAGAATGCTACCGTATTTTTGGTCTAGAATAAGTAATCGCCAGCCATGATAACGCCACAATGTCCATCACAACACGCGCTTTTCGCCAAGTCACCCCTGGCTCACCTCTGGAAACACGCTGCACTGGTCGGCACTGTCCGTGACCTGACCTGTCCTCGCCGGAGGTGCTGTGACGTCATCAGCGGGCGGCCTGCGCTGAGGGATCGGCGCAGCTCAGTCCAGGCCTCAGACTCAGAAAGCGCAAGAGAGTGGGTTGTGACAGTGCGCTGTGCGAGTGGGTTCCGGCATTAACTTTATGTAACCATTCAACGCCTTGTTCACCCCTGTTATACCTAGTTCTTGCCTTTCACATCGTCGCCCTTTGTTCGCCAAATTGCGAATAAGATGGGAAGGAGCAAGAGACGAGTGACCTATGTACAGGGAGTGTATGAAATAAACTATTTTTTCACTTTCGCTTTCCATTTATGGAAGCGACTATAACATAACATCACAAACGAAAGCGGGCGTGAATTGTGCATCATTACCGACCATCCAGTGATATAACAGACTCAGCTGCATCCCGGTGAACCTCATTACCCGCGCCTCGCGGAGCCCCACGTCAAGCTGAAGACGCCGAGTCTCCATATATGGTTGATGATATATGGTTGACGCCGAGTCTCCACTCCTCACCGACGCCAGCTGCACGGGACGTCTTCACTGCATCGGTGAGTGTTCACTGCGCCCCCGTAGCCCTGGCCTGCTTTCGCCCCTCTGAATGGCCGCTACAAGTGTTTCAGCTGGATGAATGCCGAGCGCCCCTGGCCCGTTTGTGTAGACACGGACGGCGAGTCTGACTAGGTGTTCACAGTGTAAGATTAGCTGTGCGACAGAGGCCCAAATGAAGTGTGTATTGACGGTATCCGGGGTCCGCCGTCCTCATTCGATTTAAATGTGCCGTGGGAGAGCCGATTCAGAATGGCTGTCGCGGTGAGGTGTTTGTGGGTTTCACGCATTCGGGACGATGAGATGGACCGCTGCTTTAGTTAGTTTTAAGTGTGTTGATTGTGTGTATTTTTGTTATAAGTTTCGGACCAATCGGCATGGCCAGTTTCAAGGACTTGAATATAATTGAATACCTACGATAGAAAACTTGGACTAGGAATTTGTAAAATGACATTCTCAACGTGGGAAAGCATGTTAAAATCAAAACTCATTCAAATTTCTATTCGAGTTGGTAGACTCGGCTGGCATAATATTCTAACCCCTAAATGGACAATGATGTCGCCAGTTCATGATCATTGAACATCCAATCATAATCCTTGTATCTGCCAGATATGTCTCTCGTTGACGGGCCATCCAGGTGGAACGAGCATTTGTGTGGGTCAAGGCCGAGAAATACTTATGGTCAAGGGCGCCAGGAGACTGGAGTGGATGGGCATTTGTGTCAACATTGTGACCTGCATTATTACCGTGCAATACCGTATAACGTGTAGTTTTAATTTGGTCATTTAATGTTGACCATATTATGATACTAATCCATTCTATGATAACTATATGATACGCTATGAATGGTTATCCTTGAGCATGTCCTTTCAAGCTAACACTTTTGCTTTGCTACTTTACAATTAAGCACATCTTTCTATGTAATTTTATCCGCACACTCTTTACAGCGCCTATCGGCTAGAGCAGGCTGAGGATGAGGAACTAGAGCAGTATTCGGCCAGTCCTGTGGTCACCAGTCAAGCCCACCGAAGCCTCCATCGCTCCGCCAGCGTCCCACTCCTCTCTATGTAGTCCAGACCAACAGCGGCCGCGCGGACCGCGTCTGCTGCCCCGCTCTGAGTCGCCAGCCGGGCCGCCGCCCGCGCGCCGGTCTCGGGTTTCCATCGGCAGCCATAACCGATCAGGACGATGACGCAGCTCCGTGGAGCGTAACAGTCTCGGGGCTCAGGGCCCACAGGCCACAGCAGACAGCGCGTTTAGCAGAACTTCTTCAGCTCACAGAGAATCCACCGCCCACAGCTCACAGTCCACAGTGCGTCCAACAAAGCACATTCAGCCCACAGTGTGTCCAAGAGAGCGTCTTCAGTCCACAGAGGGCTCGCCGCTGCCAGTCCACAGCCCACAGCGTCAGACAGAGGCGTCTTTTAGCTCACATCACAGAGCTCTCACCAGAGCGTCATCAGTCCAAAGAACGCCTTCATTTCACAGTATCCACAGTCCACTGACGCCCACAGTCCACAGAACATGTACAGAGGCCAGTTTTACCAACAGAAAAATAGCCGCCTGAAGGTATTTTTTGCCTAATGACCGCTTCACATACGGAACGTAAGCGCGATGGGCACGTAAGCGGATAGGACTTTACTGTTTCACTTTGTATGTGAAGCGATCTTTAGGCAAAAAATTCCGGCAGGCGGCTATTTTTCTGTTAGTAAAACTGGCCTCAGTTCAAATAGCCCAGAGTACAACGAGCAGACCACAGCCCACTCAGTATTCACATTCCACAGTTACTCAACCCCCACAGAGTGCCCACAGCTCACAGAGCCCCAGTGACCACGAACCACCACCGCGACAGCCACCCCTCGGTCCCTCCTTTTCCCAGCCCTTCCTTCGTCACTGACCACTGGAATGCGCCGGCGAGATATGCGTTCATTTTGCGTAATGAATTCGTCCGGCAGTGCGGTTCACAGGCTGTCGGGCCTGGCCGCCGGCCGCGACCGTCACCGGAGCGTCCATAAAACAGGGCACCACTTGTAAAGTGACACATAAAAATTCCAACCATGCCGCCCACCCGACTCTCTCATGCGCCATGTCCGATTCTTAATTAGCATGCGGTGTTTGTGTGTGTGAGTCGGGCCGGCGCGGGCGAGTGCCGCCGGCCGCTGCCCGGTTAAATGGGCGCCTCGGTCCAGGCACGCGTTCCTCCGCGCGCACTGCGAGCACTGGTTCGGTGTTTGTAGCGAATCTGAGCGCCAGGTATTTGTAATTGTAATTTCGGCCGGTCTCGGACGGACCAAGTGCCAGCTAGACGGCTTGTTTATGTAATTTTGAGCAGGTAATGGGAAGGACGAAGTGTGCTAATAATGGGGGCGACTGGCCATCTTTTTGGGTGCTTACGAGACCGGCAATTATAGCGTGTGCGGTAAATGGAAGCCCTCGGCGCGCGACACGTTAAACGGAGGCGGTATCCCTTCCCGGGGACATTTGCATACCGTCTAGATGTCCCGGATCTGGGTCAGTGGTGATCGGCCAGAGGGACAGCTGTGTGCGACGGTCAGACGCGCGGCTACCCGCACCGGCATCCGAAAATATTCAGGAGCTGAATACCAAGAAGAGGAGTTTTTTGCGTAGATATCATAACATTGCTTCTTATTTCACTGAACACAAATTTATATTACTTTCATCGACAGAGAACGAGTTTCCTCACCTCTTCTCTCTCTCTCCCTATCTCTCTCCCTCTCTCTCTCTCCTCTCTCTCTCTCTCTCTCTCGCTCTCTCTCTCTCTCGCTCGCTCTCTCTCTCTCTCTCTCTCTCGCTCTCTCTC